TGGTTCAATGTTTTGAAATGTCAAAACAGGAGTCAAACGCATTTATTTGATTTGTTCTAGTAAATCGTGTACTGTCATTGACAGAGCCAAAGTTCAGGATGAAATAGATCATTCACTCGTATACTGTCATACCCAGAGCATACTGATTAGGGCATGTCTGTCTTGCTTGGGATTTCTTTTTTCTCAGGTACAAAGGCATCTACTTTCCTGGGGCTCTTTGTCCATCAAAAATCAAATTGGTTGCTAAAAATGGCTATACCTGCAGAATTTAGATGCTTTATCATGTTTCCAGTCAATTCAGCAGAGCTACAGGGAATATTCAAGTCCTGTGCCAAGGAGCTTGGCTGAAAAGATTTTAAACATGGTAAACCAAAGACCCTAAATCTTTTGCTGGATAAAATATTAATTTAAGTCTCTCCACTCTTTGTATGAACATGGTCAGTGAAAGCCAGTCAGATGTAGTGGTTCATTTAAAAAATTTTGTTATTGTCAATTTAGGTGAGTCATTACACCTCTAAGAGTAACAATTTCTTGATTAGCTATAAAGGTGATCATGGGTTGCAAACGAATTTCTAGAGTAGCAAGAAACCTCAAAGAGTAACTAACCTTAGTAATCATGAAGTAATCATTAGGTCATCTTGGCCTTCTGTTATTTGTAACAAAGGTACTAAGAAATATTTCTCTACCCCAAAGAAAATGATAGCATAAGCACAATAATAAATGGCCTCACAATCAAGCAGACACTAGGCAGTATATAGTGTGAACTGTGTGAACGAAGGAATGCTGGCTAAGGCCAAAGGGCGAAGCAGTTATGCAGATCCAGACCATTTCAGCTCATGCCTTCCCGATTTAATCTACTCTAACTCTGGCCAATGCCCTATTCCTATTCAGAAGCAGTTCTTTATGCCATTAGGTTTCATTTTCCCCACCTTCTTTTCCTTATTAATTTTGTTTACCAAGTTAAAGAAGCAATTTTTAGATTACATTGTAATTTTAATTCAACTTGGACTCCCTCTATAAGATAAGATAAACAAAGAATGGTTTAGATCTATGACTAGGGAATCAAAAGATTCTCTTCTCCAGCAGCTCAACACACTACCTGAGATGCTTTTCACTGGAGCTGCACAGCTGGGGAAACAAACTCTTACCAGACACCTGCACAATATATGCTACCAAAGACAGGTGACACCTTAAGCCATCAAACCCCAGCACGGTGATCCTATCTATGCCTTTCAGGTAGTAAGGAACAAGTCTAATTGGAGTGACTTTTTAATAAAGGTGGCAACCTTGGGACTGGCTATCCCCCTTGTATCCCTCGTTAACCTCGTGCTCTTTCTTGATTTTGATGGCTGTTCTTCCTTGGGATGTATCTGCTCCAAGTCCTTCTGCCCACTGGCTTCCTCTGTTTCCGTAGTTTCTGCTTCTTCACATCCCCAGCTGGCGCACACATTTGGCTTCCAACAGACCTGCCTCTACCTCATTGTTCCTGTCAGCCTCAACCCTGAGCACCAACGACTCGTTTTTGCAGGAAATCTGAGTGTTCTCATTCTGACATTTATGCCATTCTATAGTAAAAAGATCTATTTGTCTGCCCTTTGTTTAAAGGCCATTCATTATTTATTTAGAAAACATCTATTGAACTTCTACCATATTCCAGCGACTATTTTAGATGCTGAGGAATGATAAAGAAGCAACACAGAAAAAAATTCCTCACTGTAATAGTGCTCACTTACTGAATGTTATTGGGCAAAGGGGTAGACAAACAATGAACAGATAAATACATATGTGTCATACAGAGATAAATGCTATGGAGAAAAATAAGCAGTTAAGTGATGTAGGAACTACAGGGTTGGCCACGAGAGAACATTCGATTTTTAAGTCATAGGTGGGCTAATGTCGCAGTTAGGAAGTAGAGACAGGAAGGAGGTAAGGGAGCCGGCAATTGAGGTTTCTGTGGGCAGAGCATTCCAGGCCAAGGGAGTAGTGTGTGCCAAGGCCCTGAGAGGGGGCACAGCAGGCGATGAGGTTAGACAGGTGTCCAGCGCTAGATCGTGTAGCGCCTTTAAAGACTTTGGTGATTTCTCTTGTGAGATGGAAGCCACTACAGGGAGTAAGTAGTGTACTGACAAGATCTGGCTTATATTTTAAAAGGACCGCTCACTATCTTGTTATTTCATAAGAAAACAGAGGGTCTATAATAAAGGAAAGAAAGATTTGATAGGGGAAGGGGTAGGTCTCGAATTAAGGAAAAGACCTCTTGAGGATTTAGGGGCTCAGATAAGCAGTTAGTCAGAAAACCTGATTAGTCAGAGGGCTGGAGACTCAATATTTTCTTTGTGGAGGTGGGGGTAAGAATTTAGAAAGAAGTTAGAAGGACAGAGAAGGTAAAAGGACCATCTCTGGTTTCTAGATTTACCAATTATTTGATGATGGTGGAAACCACCTTAACAATTCTCAGATATCTTGTACCACTTTGTGATGTTGCTTTGTCAAATAAATTTAACAATGAAATAGTAAGCTTTCCTCTATCACTGCAAAGAAATACTTTTTTTAATTTGGTAGAAAAAAGGCAATATGTGGATGGTGATCATTATCAAGGATTTATTTGTTGATGGGAAAATAAAGGCATGGAGTTAATAACTACTTAACCTACTACCCCTTAAAGTTACTTATTCAAGATTTTTAAAAATTCAAATACACAACCACTACCTACTACTGCAGGGATTATAGGACTCTGGCTCTAGGTTGACCCTGTTTGAAAGCCAAGCAGTCTCCAGCTTAAAAACTCATTTGGAGACCTAATGTCAACCTTTATTTGGTTGAACCTTTGTCACTTGAACCTTTGTCTTAAAGTGATTTGTGGACGTTTTAGAAGCATTGCAGAAAAGCTCCAAAAGACTGAAAGCTGTTGTGGATCTTTAAAAATGCTGTTGTACCTTATATTTATTAGTTATAGGAAATTATTTGGAAATTGTTGTTTTATACAGGTGTTCAATTGATTTCTGTATCTGATGTGAAATCAATGTAAACGTGTTGATTTGTTAGATTTGTTCACATTTACCTTTCTAGGCCCCGGAGGCTCTGAATATTCTTGCAGAGTCATTAGAGAAAGATTGAACTATATGATTAGATATCTGAGTAAACACAAAAATAGGATCGAAAGAATGTCCCAAAGCCTAGGAGATGAGAGAGAAAGAGAGAGAAAAAGAGAGAGAAAGATTGAGATTCAACCTACTTTGTTTTTGCCAATCTGATTCCACCATAGTGCACTCTGGTTGCATTACCAAAATTGCAATGTTGTAATTATTTCCATGGCAACAGAGGCAAGCTCATACAGGAGAAGCTAAGTTATGAGAAAGATTAAAATACTACTACCATTCAGATGTCTGCAGTAATAGGAAGCCCAGAAAAAATCCCTCACCCTTCTTCCATCTGAGATGGCAGTGAAAAGACGTCTGTCTAGAAAGCTGGCCCTCATCAGACACCAAATCTGCCACCCAGTCTATGGTATTTTGTTTTAACAGCCCAAACAAACTAAAATACAGGATAATCAGATTTTGAATTAATTCAAAATGACAATTTGGTAATTTATACAAATCTAGAGACTCATAAAACAAAATTATTAACATTTAAAAGTGGGAGAGAAAATTTTAAGTTATTTTTTATGCTCAATTTATGATATTATAATGATAACTGGATTAGCTACGGAGTCAGGACAGATCATTAAAAGAAAATAAAGGTAAAAGTCTAATTTGCCATTTTGAGGGAAGAACTATGAATGTTGGATACACTGACCTTTCTACAAATGTAAATCATTTTTCTAAAAATAATAGAGTTTACAGCTCAGATGGATACCCCCCCCCCCAAGAACCTTAAATGTTTGTTGTTATCAGGCAAGTTTTACAGAATAAAATGTCCAGTGGTTGTGATTACATGATTACAGACTAGGACACCTGAATGCCCATCCCAGAACCTAAATATACTGAATAGTAATGAATAGTAATCTTCGGCAAACATATATATTTTTTATATTCCTCTCCCCCACAAATTACACTTGCTATATAGCTGGGATACAATCATGGACTTGGGTTGATTACCAGAGATTAACTAGCAAAAATTAGAACAAGAATGTGGACGGATTATTGGAGCTAGAGATGCATGAGGAATACAGATAAATAAGGGTGAAAGTAGATTGAACAATCCTGGGAATATGGGGGGAAAGTAGGACACGGGGAAAAGATTCTGAGAAGGCTGGATGAGAAGCCCCAAATAATAAAAGGACAATTTGGTGACTTAAGAGGTCTGGGCATTGATTTTTATCAAGAATTTAGTCCTAGTAGAGAAAGAGGTAGAAGAAACTAAGGCTAGTTAAACTAGGGCTGTAAGGTCTATGGAAAGATGCTAGTTCCAAAGATTATGGAGTTTGGTGAATCTCCCTTTGGGTTGAAAGGTAAATGAGAAGAATTACTTCAGTCTGAATTTGTGGTGTTATCTGGATCCCCCAGTTAATCTGTTAATTTGAAATTTAAGATCTAAGAGGCTAAAGCTGGAAAAATGTTAGGAGAAAAAAAAGCAATCTTCACTGTTACTACTAATTTGCCTTCACATATAGGGAAGCAGTAATGTGTATCACAGTAGGACATGCACTAGGCTAAACATTAAAAAATCCTGGGGTGATTTAAAAAAATACACATACAAAGTCTCGGGAGCCACCAGGAATCACTGGTACGTTGAAAAGCCAGTTGCTTCAAGACCTGGTTTCACCATTTCCTACATAGAATTTCTTGAGCAAATTATTTAATTTCTCTCAGTCTGAGTTTTCTCACCTGTGAAATGGGGATAATAGTAGCAATTTTACAGTGTAAATGTGCAGTATGGGTGTTCTCCTAAAAACTGTCAATTTCTACACCCCCCACCCCTCCACAAGTACATATCATGTATTCCAGGATGCCTTGCATTATGGCTAAAACAAAACAAAAATCATACTCTAAAACCATGGCTGAGAGTACAATTTAGCCAGTTTATTGTAAAGGAGGACTATAAATCAGGCGCAAGGGACCAGACTGAATGGCAGCAGCACAGAAAACTACGGAGATGATGCAGTCTTCCCTCCAAGGATGCCCTTGTTGTTCTGGTGGGTGGGCATGATCAGGCAGTGTCAGGGCACGTTTCCTTCTTTGTCAAATGAGCTTGTCTGGCCAAAAGCCCACTTCATACTCCAGAAAGGATACTGGGGCTCCCTCAGAAGTCTTCAGAAGTCTGGTTTGACCTACAGCAAAATGAGGGGGCTTGTCAGGGTATGTTCCCTCCCTTGTCAAGTGACTACATCTTGCCAAAAGGCTACCTAATGCTTTAGGAAGAAATATGAATTGATTAACACAATATATGCAATTTGATAACCTGTAATTTCTCCACTTGCAACATGGAGCGTGTTCCCTTCTTATTCAATATTTTCTAAAACCATGTGTTTTTGTTTTATTTGACTTTTGTTTTTGTGTTTAAGGCTATATAGTGTTTCATTGAATAGCTATGCCATAATATTTAACAAAACCTCTCAAAGGACATGCTTGGTTTCTTTTTAAACATTTGTCATTATATATTATAGCATAATTAACATTTTCTTTGGGTATGAGGGTACCTCCAAAGTTCATGGAAACATTAATATTATCTTTTAATTCTATTTTTCTGCCAACTTTTTGAAGGTACCCTTGTATATCTCTGTTTATATCTTTAGGATGAATTCCTAGAAGTGGAAGTACTGGGCTTTCCATGCACATTGCCAATTTGACTGCCATAAAGATTCTGCCAACTTATATTTCTTTAATGGTGCATTCGGTATCATTTCACCATACCCTTGCCAATACTGTGGCATCGCTTTTGTGTGTGTGTGTGTGTGTGTGTGTATGTGTGTGAATTTGTCAGCTACTCAAAATAATAATTATATTTAACACAAGTATAGTGCTTACTGTGTGCTAGGCATTGTTCTAGCACTTTACATATGTAGTAGGCAAGATTCTAAGGTGGCCCCTAAGATTCCCCACCTCCTAGTATATACACCCTGTGCCCTGTACAACCCCAGGATTGTGAATATGGTGAGATACCACCCCTGTAATTATGTTTGTACTACATGGCAAAAAGATTTTACATATAAATTAAGGTCCCAAACCAGTGACCTGATCAGGAGATCATTCAGGTAGACCTGACCTAATCACATGAGTCCTTTAAATCAGGGTCTGGAGATCAGATCCAAGGGTGAGAAGAATTCAACAAGAGAGAGATTCTCTGAGGCTGACATTGAAGTTGGAAGGAGTCATGTGACAAGGAATGTGTGCAGCCTCTAAGAACTAAGAGCAGGCCCAAGTTGACAGCAAGGAGGAAACAGGGATCTTGGTCCTAGAGGCCCAAGGAGCTGAATTCTGCTAGCAACAAGAATGAGCATGGAAGATTTTTTCCCCAGTGCAACCAGAAAAGAGCTCAGTTGAGCTGACATCTTGAGTCCAGCCTTGTGAGACCCTGAGCAAATAACCTAGCCACACCATGCAGAACCTCTAACCTACAGGCCTGTAAGTTAACAAACGAATGTGGTTTTAAGTTGTTAAGTTTATGGTAATATGTTACATGGAAATAGAAAACAACTACAATATGTATAAACTCATTTAATCTTGATCACACCCATATAAGGTAGGCATTATTATTATTAATACCACTTAGATATTAAAATGAAGTATAGAGCGGTTAGGTAATAAGGCCAAGGTCACAGAGGCAATTAGTTTTAGAGCCAGATTTCAAACTGAGGCATTTGGGCACTTGAAATCATACTTTAATCATCGCATCTTTCCTTGGCTCTGGATGGTATCTCATTGCATGAAAATGGTTTGAATAGTTAGAATTAGAACTTTCTTCCTGTCTATTTTCTTTGTATCCTTAATAGGTGTGTGTGTGTGTGTGTGTGTGTGTGTGTGTGTGTGTGTGTGTGTGTGTGTGTTTCCTAAGTTACTTAATATTCTTTTTCCTGGTAAAATATACATAAATATTGTGTTTAGATTTTTTTTTTAGAAACATTTTATTACAGCTATAAAGAGCACACATTTGGCTTGTGATTTTTGGTATTTTTATATTACCTCTGGAGAGGAAATAGGTCATGAACCCTCTTTATACCCAGGTGCCTTCATAAAGTTTAAATGAGAATTCTTTGGGATTTCTGTAAACTATCCATCATGTTCTAAGTTTTTTTCTTAGTTAATAAATTGCCTTATCTTTAAATAAATAGATCATAATAATGTTGCTGAGTCCTTACTTGGTGCTAGAAACTAGATTCTGTGAACATGTTATCTCATTTACACTTACAGTGACTCTGAATTAAGTATTATTATTTTCTTTTTATCATTAAAGAACATGAAGCTCAGAATGTAAGTAACTTATGTTCATTAGCAAATGTAATAAGTAAACTGAGCTAAATTAAAACCCAGCTTTCCTCACTCCATAGACTATGCTCTTCATGGGTATGCTACATCCCCTCTGTATAAAACTCTGTATAGATTTCCTAGCTAATTTCTTCATACACTGTGAGCAACCCAATGGAATCTTTTCAAATTCAGAGATTCAAGAAATGCTTGAAAAATAGCCAAGGACTTTTGAAGTGAAAATGAAGGTAAATAGAGGGCAAGACATGAAAGCAAAGAAATAGCTTCCAGATTTTTCTTTACAGAGAAGAGTTTAAACAAAATAAAATAACAATTTTGGATATAATGCTTCTTTGGGTAGAAAATATTTTGAAACATAAGTACACATGCTGCTTTTTAGAAGTTTAAGAGTAAAACATAGAGAAGGAAAAAGAAAAGAAATAAAGAAAATTTTAATACATTACTTTGATGAAGAATGAATATGAAATTAATTGAATAATTTTGGAAATGTTTTTATATTAGAAACATTGGAACTACTTTTATATTTTAAAAATTATAAAATATGGACTATGTTTTAGCCATTGATTTAGAGGTTTTTCAATAACATATTAGAGATACTTGTACATCTGTCTCAAAATGCTTAAAAATGCTTAGTATAGTATACACAAAACATGATCCACGAGATACTAGTAGGTGATTTTTTGTGCTGGGAGAAGGGATTTATTATCAAATAGGTCTGAAGGAGTCTCAATGTGCCCTTAGCATAGTAAAAGCTTGATTGAAATGGGTCTTGTTTAAATATCGTCCAGATTTTCCCAAACTTACTTAATCATAGAACATTTATTTTCATAAAATATTCCATTACATTTCTAGAATTATGCCCCTATTTAGAAAATGCTTCTCCAGTTTGATATTTTGAAGGTCCTACCATTGCTATTTTTTAATGATTCTAGGATTTGTTTTCACAATTCCACTTTCCCATACAATACCAACTTTACCAACTGATGCCCAATGAATTCATTAATAGTTAATCTGGAAAAACAGAACAACTAACCTATCAAATAAATTTTGATTTTTTCATTCACTCATGAGGAATAATACTTACGAAGTCATTAAAAACCCTGGGGATTATTTTGCTTGTTCTGTCCTTGGCTTATAAGCAGAAAAGGATGACCAGCAATAACAACTAAAACTGTACACAATGACCTACTATGTCCCAAATTCTGCAGTGAAAAATCCTCTATATACATCTACCAATCTACAAATATTGATATTGCCCAGGTAGATAACTGAATTTTACAGAGAAGGAAACTTGAGGCTCAGTAGCTTAATAAATAGCCCAAATTTACACAGGCACTAAAGTGGTATGTCTGATTGCAAAGCCTGTTATACAGCCTTCAATGGTTACCCTGAACTACCTAAAGAACCAATAGGTAAGCCAAAGTCACAATATGCCATAAACTCACAAGATGCATTGCTAGAAACAGGCATGATGCCCGACTGGCTGAATCACCCATTTAAGGGGTATATGTATACCACAGGACAGTCACCATTTATTTATTTATTTATTTATTTTTGTCTTTTTTCATGTCCGGCAATGGATCGCAACCCTCAGTGTCGCGCCCGTACCGGACCGGGACCAGCAACGGGATCGCAACCCTTGGCGTTGCCCCCGCTCCCTGCTCAACCAGTGAGCCGCCGGTCTGCAGGTGGGATCCGAACCCTGGGCGGGAGCACCGCCGCGCTTCCCAAGCGGCGCACTGTAGCAGTGCGCCACCAGGCCGGCCCGACAGTCCCCATTTAAATGAACACATTTATGGTACACTGGTATCATTCTATTTCATTATTTAATATTATTATTTATTATTATTATTATTTTTAGTATATATGGCATGAGATTTTAACTTTTATTGATGTAGCTTTTGGTTGTTTATTGTCACACATCTTTTTTGTCTTTTTTTATTAAATTTTTCTTTATTTTTAGCATATTCATTCTTACAAATCATTATATTTCTTTATGCCCTTTACCCTACCTATCACTTCCCAAATCCCCTCCTCCTTCCCTCCCCCCGTTATTATATTTTATTATTTTTTCTAAATTTTAGTTATCAGGCTATGCCATGCCTTTATTTTTATTTATTTATTTTTGATAAGTTCTACCTGGCTGCAGTGATATTTACATCAGAGGACTTCCACCAGTCCCGTATTGTCTGCTTACCTTTACCTTGAGGCATATTAAACCCCAGTAAAATGGGCATATTGACTCTCAGCATGCAAGCATGCACACTTGTTGTTTCTTTGTAACTGATTCAGCATTGTCACTTGCCGGGCATTATGGCTTAAAATTGTTCACTGGAACACAACATAAATGGAAGAAAACAGGCCCAGAGCAGAATAAAAAGATTGCTGAACAATTTTAACTTAAGAGAGTGGAGATTCATTTACTGAGAGAGTATGTATGAGAGCACTCGGTGATTGGTTAAATACATATTACTATATTTTCTTTTTTTTTTCCTTTTTGTCTTTTTTCGTGACCGGCAACGAGATCGCAACCCTCGGTGTCATGCCTGCACCGCGCTCAACCAGTGAGCGGACCGGTCTCTATATGGGATCTGAACCCTCGGCGGGAGCGCCGCCGCGCTCCCAAGCACCGCACTCTACCGAGTGCACCACCGGGCCAGCCCTATATTTTCTTATACAAACATTATTTCACATTTATATTATATATTAATATAACAATTACAGGTAATTATATTAATTTACAATTAACCCATTCATTTAATATATGATTATCTGTGTGCGTGTGCGTGTGTGTGTGCATCAGAAACAGAAGAGTGTTATAATGGAACAGAGCAAGAGGCATGAA